TGGCAACAGTTTTCAGAAGTTTTTGTCCCAAAGCATGAAAAATGATGGATTGAGATGAAAACAGTGGGGTTGAGGAAGTGGAGAAAGATTTATGGCCTAGAGGCAGCAACTCAATTACTGTTCAACCATGTCATTAAATGCTCATTAAGGCGGCCATTTTCGTCTCCCCCCCCCCCACTCCAGGGGAGAGTCATTATCTGGGTTCTGTCCTGCTTTAAAACTATCTATTTCTTGTTGTGTTACAAAGTGGCAAAGCAGTACTTTCACATCTTTTGTGGTAGCAATTACTGGTTGAGGTGAGGACATTTCTGGAGGAAGTACTGATGAAAGCTTTGTGTGGGGTTGGGAAAAAAGTGTGTTATTACTGTCATCAATGGTGCCAAGGGTTGTGCTGAAAGTTTGATGTGAAAAGAAAGAAAAAAAATGGCTGGTTGTTTTTCTGAGGATTTCAGCTTGTCTGCTTTATTCCAATGACACCACTATTTGAGAAAATCAAAACTGTTTTATATATTATCAGTAACCATCCAGATGATATCATACAATTTCATATGATATCATAGAATTATCAGATGATATCATAGAATTATCAGATGATATCATAGAATTATCAGATGATATCATAAAATTTACAGTTGATATCATAGAATTTCCAGATGATATCATAGAATTTTCAGATGATATAGAATTTTCAGATGATTTCATAGAATTTAATTGTAACTTGGAAATAATCCAGCTAATTTCAGAAATTTTCAAATTGATTTAAAGCATAACCCAAATGATTTTGAACATTATCCAATTGAATTTGAACAATATACAAATGATTTTGAACAATATACAAATGATTTTGAACATAATCCAAATGATTTTGAACATAATCCAAATGATTTTTAACATAATCCAAATGAATTTGAACATAATCCAAACTATTTTGAACATTATCCAATTGAATTTAAACAATATCCAAATGATTTTGAACATAATCCAAATGATTTTGAACATATAATCCAAATGATTTTGAACATTATCCAATTGAATTTAAACAATATCCAAATGGTTTTATGAACATAATCCAAATGATTTTGAACATACAGTAATCCAAATGATTTTTAACATAATCCAAATGATTTTGAACATAATCCAATTGAATTTAAACAATATCCAAATGGTTTTATGAACATAATCCAAATGATTTTGAACATTATCCAATTGAATTTAAACAATATCCAAATGGTTTTATGAACATAATCCAAATGATTTTGAACATAATCCAAATGATTTTGAACATAATCCAAATGATTTAGAACATAATCCAAATGATTTAGAACATAATTCAAATGATTTTGAAGATATAATCCAAATGATTTTGAACATTATCCAATTGAATTTAAACAATATCCAAATGGTTTTGAACATATTCCAAATGATTTTTAACATTATCCATATGACTTCAAGAATTATTCAGATGATTTTGAGTATTAACCAGATGATTTAAGATACCATTCAATTATTTCAGAATTATACTTGACTTCATTAATTTGCAGATGATTCTATAAATTTGTTTGATGATTCAAGTAAGAATCCAGATTCATTTGAAAAATTAAATTACTCAAAAATTGATTCAGAGTAATTAAATGAAAAGTATGTGAAATGAAAAATGAAAAATATCAATATTTTGAAGCATTATGCATCCATAAAAGTGAAGATAGACTTTCAAAGGTACATCTTGATTTGGCAAACATTGAAAGACACTTGACTAATTTTGGTAAGCATGCTACATGGACAGTCAACATACTTAAGAATGGAACAGAATAATTTCTAACCAAATTTCCAAAACTGATGCAAACCTCTATCAGTAAATTTATCAGCAGCAAGTTAACTATTTTTAAAAATAACCTTTTCACAGAATTTGAACCACAGTGCCATTTTTCAGGTGACTGAATAAAAAGCAATAAAGAAAAACAAAGAGAGCAAAAGTGTAACAGACTGCCATCACCATCAAGAGAGCCTTTTGAACTCAATGCTGAAAAATGGGTGCATCAATAATTTCTCAAGTGAATAAAAGAGGGGGTGAAAGCCTTGATTAATGACCCAGATAATCAAGGTTTATTGAAGTGCCCCCAACTGGTACAGGGAGAGTAACAAATGAATCCCCCCCACACCCAAAAATGTCTGCCATCCATCAGCCCCCTGCTGTGAGTTCCTCAGCAAGCACCCAATGATGTTGTAATGGTGGCCTCAGGGAATGATGGACCATTTCCTCTTTTCCCTCCTCCCCAGGGGGGGTGACAATCATCATTACCCTGTCTGGGGACACACACACACACACTACTTACTCATCATGTCCACTAAAATACCCCTTCAACATAACATGTTTTTCAAGCAAAGTAGAAATAACCCCCCTTTACCATTTTACAAGGTTCTGCATTGTTCATCTGAGCTTTCTAGGACATAGAATGTGATTCTTAAAAAGTTCAGTCCCACAAGTCTGAGTATACCCAAGTACAGAACACCAAGGTGAAAAATGGGCCTCAGCTGTGGGTGGAAAAATAAAAAGGAAGGGACCAGTATGATCAATTGGTCACAAAAAGGCACAAAGAGAAGAAAATAAAAGATGAAGCATGGCAAAGAATGATTGATGAGGTCTGTGAGGGGGGGAAAATGGGATAGAAACAAGGGGGGTTTTGAAGGGAGGGAAATGGGGCCCATCCTCTCAATTTCTCTTCCATTCCTTTTCCTCTCTGTTCTTTTCTTCTTTTTTTTTCTGTGGGGTGGCTCAATTTTGTTCCTATTTTTCACCTTTTTCCACTGAGGGGAGAGATGAAAAATGAATGTCTTCAGCAGCTACTGAAACCTTCCTTTTTATCCTGGGAGTTGATGTGAGGTCATCCTCAGCATTCTGGGGACATGCTTTCTTTCTACTGTTCCCAACATCATGTACTGTCACATAATATAAATTCAATTTTCCTGTGACAAAGTGAAGCCATATATATTAATAATATGATACTTCAGACCCCTGATTCAAACTTTTTTCTCAAGACATTTCCCACATACAAAATTATAGTTTCTCAATTTAATTTCTTGTGTCCCAAAAAACAGGATAATATTCACAAGCATTTTCCCTGGTGTGGGCTTGGGTGGAAAAAAAAAGACTCAATCCTTTATTTCTTCCCCACAGGAGGGTTTTCCTAAACACCATGGACTCATTTTTCTCCCTGTGCCTCCTGGGGGCACTCCACAGCAGCAACCAGGGTTCATCAATTTTGTTCTCTGATTAACAGCCTCTTCAATGGGAAAAGCTAATTTTTATTTTCTGTTTCAAATGAATCTCCCCTGAATGTGTCCTGGAAATTTAGAATAATGGAGAAAAATTGACAAATTTGGCAAATGCATATTTAATTTTGAGGGGCCTATAAACCACACAATCCTCCAGAAATGGTAATCAGTGCATCTTCTTAAACACCACAGTAAATTAAGCAGCCCAAAGATTACAATTTTTTACTTCTTTATACAGTATTCATAAGAAACTGCATCAACACATAATATAAATTATTATCAAATAAATTATTAAATTATCAAAAAAAAGTAATAATAATAATAAAAATAATAAGTTAAATTATTTTCAATATTTTAAATTTTATTTTTCCTTTGCTTGCTTTCCAGGATTTGAGGGGAACTGATGAAAATGATTCAAAATCCCATTAAAAAAATGAACTTTTCTGAATTTTTCTAGGTAGAAAAAAAGAGACTCATATTATTATTATTCAATCTATTTTTAGATACATTTTATAAAATGAGAAAATTGAGTAAAGACGAAATGCTTATTTAAATGGATATTTGGATATTTTTCTCATGGACTCTCCACAAAATTATGACACATATATTTTTGCAGAATTAAAAAATGTGATGACCATTTCATGAAAACCCATCCAAGTCAATCCCCAAACTGCAGCTTTTTTTTTTGTCATCCAAAAAGGGCAGGTCGTTTGTCATGCAGGCATTTTGATGACGTGGCAGGTTTTGTTCCCCTTGGGCCATTTATGACACCTGGCCATTAATCTTCTCTTCTTTCCCCCCTCCCTTACAAGCGCAAAAAAATCCTGTTTTAACATTCATGACTCTGGCTTTTTTTCCCTGCTGTAAGGGATAGAATGTACCTTCATTTTTCAAACACATGATGAGTCCCTGCATCATTGGGGTCATTTAGTGTATTGGAGAGATTTAATAGGCCAATAAGAATTTTGTTGATCATGGTTTGGCATCATTAAAACAAGACCAATTTCCAAAAATAATTCAGCAGGCAAAAATAACAAGATCAAAAAAACAAATAAAAAAACATTGAATATTTGGAAAAACCCAGGAAATTACAGTCACAGCATGAATAACTCTAATGGTTATATTCCACTGTAATGGAAAATGATTATGCACCATTTTTGTGATTATACTCACAAAAGCACTCAAATTTCCAATTTTAAACAATGATCCTATAATAACTAAGATTGTATAAATTCATCAGAAATATTCTGAAACAAGGAAATATCTTGAATAAAGCATCCAGGGAACAAATTACATTCACAAATTGAAGAATCATCATGCATCATTACAAAGGTTGGAATTCCTGATAAAAGGTCAGAGATAAAAATATATTTGTTGGTAAACCTGTTCCAAATATATAAAAAAAAATCAACCTCAGTAATAATTCTTTTCATTTTGCAGAATAATCTAGTAACATCAACACAGGAAGGGGTTTTGTACAGGGCAATACTCTGTAAGAACAGCACAGGTGCCAAGTCCCAGCAATAAAACCAGACTAAAGAACCCACTCCTGTGACAACAGAGAAAGTTCCATAAATTTTCCTCAGCACAGTACTCTTGAGAAGTCAGCCCCAAATTGCTCCAGGCAAATGTGCCAGCAGCAAGAAAAAACAATTCAAGACAAGCACTGAATTTTCAGCAAGACCACCCAAGCAGAAGGGGGCCACCACCTGCTTACTCTTCTACCATCCAGAGTCAAGGAGCGACATCTACTTGGGTAAAACAGAGAATTTCTCCCACAGATGCGACATCTGGTGGACAGAGGACATTTCCTGGGGAAGCCAGGTGAAGGTTGCTGATTCCATGATGAACAGAGAGAGAATTGGGGGATGGGATTAAAGCAAGTTTTTTTGTTGTGAAAGTTCTTAATCAAAAATTCCAAATCTTGTTCTTTTATCTCAAATTTTCAGTTCCCTAGTCCAACATCATGCCTCCCAAGAAGAAGAAGAAGAAGGGAAAGAAGGGGAAAAAGTGAGAGCCTCTTTTCTGGGGATTCAATCCCTGGATCTTTTGGTTAATGCTGGGATTTTTCTATTTAAAAGAAAAGGGTTTGAGCCCTACCAGAAGGACTATGCAGCCATGCTAGGAGGTGTCCTGTATGCCCTCTACACCCTGCTCCAATGGGTCAGATGTGCCCCCAAGAAGGAAGGGCCACAAAAGGGCCATGGCTTTGCCCCCCTGGCCCACTGGCGCCTCATGCCCTACTTTATCTGCAGCATCATGAGTGCATTGATCACTGCAGCCAGCAAGGGGTTTGTGGGCAAGCCAGACTGGCCACCACCACTGTACACCTTTAGGAGTTTGGCCTCAGGGGCTGGGCTCATGTTGGTGTGCACACAGTTCATGTTCTACTTTGGACACTCCACCAAGCTCATTCAGGGGTATACCACCTTGGTATGGCTGCCTCTGGCTGCCAGTTTGTCATGGGTTGACAGATACTCCAAATCTGTGAGTTGGTAACTCAGTTGTTGGTCCTCACTGATTCCTAATTTTTTTCTTTACATTGAATTACACCTCTTGACATCTTAAGCCTTGAGTTTCTTGAATTTTGGGAAAATTTCAGATTCTTGAAACATTTTCAATGCATCATACTACAGTATCTCAAGATTTTGTTGGTATGGGATGTAAGTTAATTTTATTTAAAATCCCTGAGGGCTTTACTGGGAACTTGAAGTGTTTCCAGGGTTTTCTGATAGTCTACAATTTCATAGTCTCTTCTCAACACTATTTTGATTTTAGACAGGATACAGTACCTCCTCAATTTATTATTATTTTTTAATGAAAACATACACTGCATCATGTCTCACCCCTTCAGCCCTTGTAAGATAATCCATCATGGATGACTTCTCCACTTGAAACACTCCTTTCATGTGTTTTTCAGCTTTCAGATTCAATCTCAAATTTGTCAAATATTTCTGAATTCATATAATATTTACAGGGTTGCATGTACATTATTAAAATCTCAGAATTTTTGAAATCTACAGTATCTTATAAAATTTCACAATGATAAAAATTCTTAGATCCAATTTAGACTGCATTGACTCACTTGATTGAATATGATGATCAGGAGGGACATTTATCAGGATCTTAATGCTATTGAATGTCTCTTGTTTGATTTTCAGTGTTTGTACATTGGAGATGCATTTGGAGCATTTGCCCTTGGCTACTTGATGCTTTATGGAGCCATGGCTAGAAGAAACAGGGACCTGTTGTTTGCCTGCATCCTGTTTCCCATGTGCCAATACTTGATTGGCAAGGATGGGTTTCAGTTCCTCAATTTCTTTTATTACTATGGAATGTTGTATGCGCAAAAGTTTCTCACTAATGCCATCATCACTGCTCAAGGAAGAAGACCTCCTGGCTGGCCCATTTAAATTTTATTTTCAGAAATGTCTCTCTCTCCAATGTTAACCACACAAAAATGAGAAGTTTTTGATTTGAATGCTGCTGTGTTTCTTGAATGAAAGTGCTTTTTGTTGTTGTTGCTATTTTTCTGAGATCTGAAATTCAGTTTCCTAGAACAGTATACTGTAGTCATTTTTTTTGTCTGGAACTTATTTAATTATCTTTGTAGTTTCCAGAATATTCTTTTCTAGCTTGGCTTTCAAAAATAAAATTTTTTTTTCTGGTACAGTATTTGAAATTTCCATTCAAACATATCCACAAGGTTATCAAGAGGTTTCCTTTCCAGACTTCAATATTTGGTGCCTTGCGCGAAAATTGAACATTCAGCAAACTTCTGGTTGTCGCAAATTCACAGGCTGGCTTAATTTCGACTTTCTTTGAGTTTAAGCTCCTTGAGCTTTCGGTTGCATGAAAAGCTCTCATATCTATTTCCGAATACTTATCGATATGGTTTGTTTTAATTCGCAAGAAAAAAAAGCTCATCGCTACTCAACATCGAAATCAAATAAATATTCACGACCGATTGTTGATTCGCATTTAAAATTCAAGCGTCTCTTAGTAATCCAGTAATAAACAACCTGATTCTGCTTTAATTGATAGATATTCAAGAAAATCATTCGCGCGAATGCTAACCACTAGCGACACCTGTTCGTCGTAAAGTAGTTGAAGTTTCGTTAAACAGTACCCTCACACGCGCAGAGGAAGACGCATTTACCCGAGAGCGACATCTTTCATTCAAACGGAAATTCAAAAGCTCTTGTGAGTTCACTTCCGAGAGCTAGGTGTCGCGTTGAACACAGTTCACCACCGGGCCGGCCGGATGGCCTATGGATGGGATACTTAATCACAGAAGACGCGCGACATCTATGATACTTTCCAACGACTACGCAACACGCCCGGTAGATAGTGTGAGAGCTAGGTGTCGCCTCCGACGTTAGTTACCCAAAACAGACGGTACATGTCGGTAAACGACAGTTCAGTCTCACAGCGCGCCACTACAGTATATTATATACGGTAATCGCTTTTCCATGACGAACGTGTCTCGTCTGGCACGAATGGGGGTGAGCCCCCCCTCTCCCATTTCAGGATACAAGTCTCGGTAATTTGACCTAGTTTCCCTATACTCTAGTCTACCCCTAACCCCCACCTTGCTTGTGTGTGTGTGTGTGTGTGTGTGTGTGTGTGTGTGTGTTCAAGAGAGAGAGGAGTTATGCCTTGTTTAGGAAATAAGGATGAGGGGGGGGGGATTCTGCAACAGGAGGAAGGGGGGGGGGAAGTGAGACCTATAGTATATAATATATAATGAGATACACACACATTTGTAAACACACATGAGCAGGAGAAATGCCAGACGTCTGGCACAACATCCTGCATTCCATGAAGGGAAGCTGAGGTGGGGTGGGGTTGGGATTATTATTTTTTATTTTTGCATTTTATTTTGCAGGTATAGTATATATAGGGGATGGTTGTGGTGGTGGTGGAGGGGAGGAGAAAAAAAACCAGGCGCAAAAAACTGTCTGGGAATCCGTCATTTGACTTTATTGCATTGCAGAACATCAAATGATCCTTCCTCTCTTTCCCCCCTCCCCACCCATTTTGTGCATATTTTTTATTTTTTTCATTAAGTTGTGAGGGTTGGTACAAACTTGTGGTGTTCAAAAGATAGCAGTTGGATATCTCCAGAGCTATTTTTATATAGCCCCCCCCCCTCTTTGTGTTTATTTTTTATTTCTTCATTAAGTTGTGAGGGTTGGTACAAATTTGTGGTGTTCAAAAGAGAGCAATATCTCCAGACTTATTTTTAAATAGGCCCCCCCTTTTTGTGTTTATTTTTTATTTCTTCATTAGGTTGTGAGGGTTGGTACAAAGTTGTGGTGGTCAAAAGAGAGCAGTTGGATATCTCCAGAATTATTTTTAAATAGCCCCCCCCCTTTTTGTGCCTATTTTTAATTTCTTCATTAGGTTGTGAGGGTTGGTACAAATTTGTGTTGGTCAAAAGAGAGCAGTTGGATATCTTCAGAGTTACTTTTAAACAGCTGTGGTTTTCACATTCAACATCTCAATGAATAATTTTTTGAAAAGAAGTTATTTTATTGCAGAAACTGAAAAACCCTTTAATCTCTTTCTTTTCTTAGCCAATAATTTTTCATTAGATTGTGAGGGTCAGTGCTCATTTTTTGGTGTACAAAAGAGAGGAGCTGAAAATCTCATCAAGGACTGTAATCATCTGTGGAATAGATTTTTAAAATCATGGCAGTATTTCTCAACTACACCTTAATTTCTTGCAGAACATCAAATTATCCTTCTCCCTTTATATGCTCACTTTTTGTGTGTTATGAACACTTATGAGGGTTCATACAAATTTTTTGGGAGAACAAAAAAGAGCAGTTGACCATCCCTTGGTTTTATAAGTGGCTGAACTTCTCAAGTTTAACATTATTCCAGCAGTATTTTTGAAAGAACTTCACATTATTGAAGAACATTAAATGATAATTACTTTTCTGTTTCCACCAAATCATAATTTTTGTTTCTGTTAGCTAGTGAGGGTTTGCAGAAATTGGTGGCGCAAAAAGGATTTCAGTTGACCATATCTGGATTCATGAGTGGCTGCAGTTTTCAAGTTTAACATTATAACAGGATTTTTGATAGTACAGTATTCATTCAATTGCAGAATTTAGAATTATTTTCCTCTCATCTTTTTTGCATTTTGTTGTTGTTTCCAATAGCTTGTTAGAGTTGGTACAAATTTGTAGTGTACAAAAGAGAGCAGTTGGACATCCTTGAGTTTGTGAAAACCTGTGCTATTTACATTCAACATTTCAGCTAAAATTTCTTTTCAATCAATTGCATATAGCAGATCATCAAATGATTATTATAAATCACCCATATTCAAAAACAAATTTCCTGATTAAAAAAAAATGTCTGATGACATTTCCAAAATGTTTTCACAATGTTTTGACAAAAATTTAATTATCAATCCAAACTGAAAAAAAAGTTTGAGAACAGAGAGCAACATTATTATTTTAATGCATCTGAAAAAACTGAAATCTTCTCTTGAAATTTCACACATGGATTGAATTTTAGAATAAATATTGTCCATGTTGAAAATGGAGTTTAAAAATGAAACCAGGTGGAATCATGTCATTTTGCAGGAGTACTGAAAAAATGCTTCACTGTATTCAAATCCAAAATATTCATGAGAATATTTAGAAATCCCCACAGTCAAATTAGCTGATCATTCAGAAAAATCAATCAGAACAGAACACAATTAATTCAAAATTGCTGACTGCTTGAAAAAAAAGTACATGTGTAATACAGTACAGTACTTGAAATGGCCATCATAAAATGCCCAGTGAACCCACAAGTACTGCTTTTTTGGGGGGCAACCAAATTAAGAGGGGCATCAGCATCTTCATCAAGAAGTAATTTTCAAGAGGAGACACAACTTCCGCAGGAAGTTACATATCCTCTTTTCTTGGCAACCCCAACAAAATGGGTTCTCCCTTTTTTTTTTATTCTCACTCTCAAAGACCAAGGAAAAAAAACCACCTCCAAAAATAGGGTCCAATAATCAATTTTTTTTCTTATTCAGAAAAACTTTAATTGGGGTCGAAAAACTGAGCAGAAACTTGTTGATCAGATTCTAGAAATATCTGATGGGTTTCAGAGCCAGAAAAAAAGTTTCCTTGTACCTCTTGATTAAATGTCATGGCTTCATTTTTTTTATATACAGTGATACAAGTACTTGATAACATGTTTTGTTTTCTGCATCTGAAGGATCTTCAATCCTGGGAAAACAATTTGAATAAATTACGTTTTCACAAAACAAAAAAAGGAACTGCTTGAATGTCCTATAGGAATTTTCAAAATTCGTTTGCGATTTTTTGTGAATATTAAAATACATTTTCAAAGAGTTTTAAAAATTCAACTTTGAAGATCCTTGAAGAGCAAAAATTTCCCTTCAACCGGAAAAATTAATTCTGAGGGGAGAGAAATGTTAATAAAGTTTCTTTTAATGTAAATTGACATGAAAAAATTGCAGAAGTTGAATGATTTCTTCAGCAAGTCAATTTCTGGTGATTTTTAGAAATTATTTCTTAGCGTTTAATCGTTAGAAGGAGATTCTTCCGGTAGTTTTTGATTCGTTAGTTCTATAAGGCATGAGTAGATGTCGCTACAACAAACGAAAACAATTTGAAAAGTATTCTGGAGTTTTGAGAGAATTTTGCTTTTCCGCAGCAAAGAATCTGAAATAAAAGTACAGTATTTTCAAGACCTTTTTCAAAGTTTATTTTCAATTTATTTGACTTAGTAATCTGGAAAAAATTTCGAAGTTGTATTTTCACAGTATAGAAAAACTGGATAAAAGGTGTTTTTCGCGTGGGATTTTTTCTGGGGGGTATTTTAAAGTTCATCTTCAAATTTAATTTCAACATTAGTTTCAAATCGGAATTTATTTTTTATTTCTGCAGAAAATTCTTCGACGCGATTTTTTTTATGGTGGAATTATCCTGCCTCTTATTTTAATTGATTTTAATTGTTTTTTATTTATTTTGAAATTGGTTTTGAACCGGAATTCGGTTTGTATTTCAACATAAAATTACTTGAAGCGTAAATATTTTCGATGGTGTAATTTTTCTGTACCTTCTTTCAGTTGATCTTGACTGGATTTTATTTTATTTTAATATAATTTCAGAATCCGAATGGAATTTTGAATAAAATATCTGAATTGAAGAATTGTTCAATTAAAAAAAAATTGACTCTTTTTTCAGTTTACCTTCGCTTTTTAATTCGGAAGTGAAAAAAATATTTGTCAAGTGAAGAATACTTTTTTTTTTTTAAATAATAATGGCATTTACAGTGAAATTCTTGAGTTAATTTTCACTTCATGCCCATGAAAAACAATCAGCTCGAAAGAAAGCCAAAAGAAATGCCTTTTATTTCCATCCCAATATACTGATCATCATA